GATCCAGTTTCATTCTCTTACATGTAGCTGTCCAGTTTTGCCAACACCAACTGTTGAAGGGGCTGTCATTTCCGCATTGTATGTCCATGGCTCATTTATCGTATATTAATTGACCATATATGTTTGGGTTAATGTCTGGAGTCTCTATTCTGTTTCACTGGTCTGTGGGTCTGTTCTTGTGCCAGTACCAAATTGTCTTGATTACTGTGGCCTTGTAGTAGAGGTTGAAATTGGGGAGTGAGATCCCCCCCTACTTTATTCTTCCTTTTCAGGATTTCTTTGGCTATTCAGGGTCTTTGGTGTTTCCATATGAATTTTTGAAGTATTTGTTCCAGTTTGTTGAAGAATGCTGTTGGTAATTTGATAGGGATTGCATCAAATCTGTATATTGCTTTGGGTAGGATGGCCATTTTGACAATATTAATTCTTCCTAGCCAAGAGCATGGGATGAGTTTCCATTTGTTAGTGTCCTCTTTAATTTTGCTTAAGAGTGTCTTGTAGTTTTCAGGGTATAGGTCTTTCACTTCTTTGGTTAGGTTTATTCCTGGGTATTTTATTCTTTTTGATGCAATTGTGAATGAAATTGTTTTCCTGATTTCTCTTTCTATTATTTCATTGTTAGTGTATAGGAAAGCCACAGATTTCTGTGTATTAATTTTGTATCCTGTGACTTTGCTGAATTCCGATATTAGTTCTAGTAGTTTTGGAGTGGAGTCTTTAGGGTTTTTCATGTACAGTATCATGTCATCTGCAAATAGTGACAGTTTGACCTCTTCTTTACCAATCTGGATTCCTTGTATTTCTTTGTTTTTTCTAATTGCTGTGGTAGGACCTCCAGTACTATTTTGAATAACAGTGGGAAAAGTGGGCATCCCTGTCTTGTACCTGATCTCAGAGGAAAAGCTTTCAGCTTCTCACTGTTCACTATGATGTTGGCTGTGGGTTGATCATATATGGCCTTTATTATGTTGAGGTGCTTGCCCTCTATGCCCATTTTGTTGAGAGTTTTTATCATGAATAGATGTTGAATTTTGTCGAATGCTTTTTCAGCATCTATGGAGATGATCATGTGGTGTTTGTCCTTCTTTTTGTTGATGTGGTGGATGATGCTGATGGATTTTCAAATGTTGTACCATCCTTGCATCCCTGGGATGAATCCCACTTGGTCATGGTGTACTATCCTTTTGATGTATTTTTGAATTTGGTTTGCTAATATTTTGTTGAGTATTTTTGCATTTACGTTCATCAGGGATATTGGTCTGTAGTTTTCTTTTTTGGTGGGCTCTTTGCCTGGTTTTGGTATTAGGGTGATGTTCACTTCATAGAATGAGTTTGGGAGTATTCCCTCCTCTTTTTTGGAAAACTTTAAGGAGAATGGGTATTATGTCTTCTCTGTATGTCTGATAAAGTTCCGAGGTAAATCCATCTGGCCCGGGGGTTTTGTTCCTGGGTAGTTTTTTGATTACTGCTTCAATTTCGTTGCTGGTAACTGGTCTGTTTAGATTTTCTGTTTCTTTCTGGGTCAGTCTTGGAAGGTTGTATTTTTCTAGGAAGTTGTCCATTTCTCCTAGGTTTCCCAGCTTGTTAGCATATAGGTCTTCATAGTATTCTCTAATAATTCTTTGTATTTCTGTGGGGTCCGTCGTGATTTTTCCTTTCTCTTTTCTGATTCTGTTGATTTGTGTTGATTCTCTTTTTCTCTTAATAAGTCTGGCTAGAGGCTTATCTATTTTGTTTATTTTCTCGTAGAACCAGCTCTTGGTTTCATTGATTTTTGCTATTGTTTTATTCTTCTCAATTTTATTTATTTCTTCTCTCATCTTTATTATGTCCCTCCTTCTGCTGACTTCGGGCCAGATTAGATGTTTTTATGACTCATTTTTACATCAACGTTCACTTGCTGTAACTTTCCTTGCATTTCAGTCTTCTAAGATAATTTTCCTCCTGAAAATTTTCCTCCTTTAGAATTTCCATTAGTGTGGTCTGCTGGTGACAAACCCTCTTAGTTTTTGTTTGGCTAAAAATATCTTCATTTCACCCTCTTGAATATTTTTATGAAAGATGATGCTCTCAAAGCCCAGGCTTAGTATTGGCAGGTTCTCCATAAGCATCTCCATCTGGGCTTTGATGCCATGTGAGCCAAAGCCCTAGGGTGAAGTGCCTGCATGGCCTCAGCTACTTCAATGGGAGAACAACGTCTCTTTCAACAGGGCTGCCAGAGATGCCTAAATGAGATAATGGATGGAAATTCCTGGCATCGAGGAGGAAAGCAAGCAAAGGTAGCTATTAATGTTCCAACTGAAATCTTAACCCCTAAACTTCAGGGTTAAAAAAAAAAGTTTTTGCAATTGGAAAATGAAATGTGGCTTCCTTAGGGCTGCCACCCTCCTCTCCTCTAATGACCCACCCCAGGCACATGAAACACAATCCATGTCCTTTCAACACTTTTGTCAGTGCTCTGAGGTCTAGTCTGTCTTTTTTGATGCCTGATTTGGTGATGAAGCCATTTAAATTCAGAACAAGAATTTGCTTAGAGGCCAGGGTCAGATGTCCTATAGTACTAGGGAGGTGAAGGAAGAGTCTGAAGGTAACCCATAAGCTAGGCCCAGCATCACCTGACTGTGAAGTGCCCAACATGCCTTCTCTATGTGCACACCACCACCACTGTTCCATGCTGAGGAGAAAGGCTACACTCCTGAGATGAAAGGTGCTTCATCTGCAAGCTTGGATGTCTACTCTAAGTAGTTCTAAGTATTGGGTTTGGAAATAAGAAAGCAGAAAGGAGCAGGTGAAGTACCTTAGAAGGCTAAAGGTGAACCCAATAGCAGCCAGTGGCATCAGATTGTTCACTTGCTTCCAACATCAAGCAACAGCCACAACTCTGCAGTCGGGCAGTGCACTTACACAGGGCAGGCCACTACCACCCTGGCCCCCAACACCACCCCCCTGCCCCCCAGGAACCTCCTAGCCACACTCTGCATGGGAGAAAGAAAATATGCTTTCCAAGAACCAGAAGTAAAGGGAAAACAGAGTGTTGTGGGCTGAAGTGTACTCCTCCAGAGTCCATATTTGGAAGCAGTAAACCCCACTGTCTCAGAATGTGACTGTATTCGGACACAAGTATTTTTAAATAAGTGATTATGTTAAAATGAGGCCATTAAGATGGGTCTAATCCCATGTGACTGGGTCCTTTTAAGAAGTGGAAATTTGAACATCAGGGGCAGGTACACAGAGGGACAATCCTGTGAAGAGGCAGCAAGAGGGTGGCCATCTACAAGCCAAGCGGACAGGCCTCAGAGAAACCAATCCTGTGGGCACCTCACCTTGATCTTAAGACTTCTAGCTTCCAGAACTATGAGAAAATACATTTCTGTTGTTGAAGCCACCCAATCTGTGGTACTTTTTTAGGGCAGCCCGAGCAGACTAAGACATGGAGCCTCTGGCTTTAGGTGCATTTGCTGGGGACAGTCCTACATGCTGTTTTCATGCAGTTGCTCCTTCTGTGGGGCCCGTGATACCATACCCAGCAAAGGAGAGGTCCCCTCGAGAGCTCACAGAAGAGCCACTTAGTAACCAACCCTGAGTTGAGAAATCAAAAAGCTGTATCAGCAGCAAAGAGCTGTGGTTCTAGTCAAATTGTGTTTCATTCCTCACACTTCTTCCTCAAGTACAAATTGAAGGAGAAAGATATTAATGAAGAAAGATTGTAGGGTAATGGTGTTTAACCATTACTGGATCACAGACCCACTTAAAAAATCTACAAAGCTATGAATCAGAAAAATACAGAGTCTATATTAGTACCCTACTGCTTCTGTAACAAATTACCACAAAGTTATCGGCTTAAAAGAAGAGAAATTTATTCTCCCATGGTTCTGGAGGCCAGAAGTTCATTAGTTTCTCTGGGCTGAATCTGAGGTGTGGGCAGGGCTGTACTCTGTTCCATATCTCTTCTGGTTTCCCGTGGCTGCCAGCATTCCTTCACTTGTGGCCATATCACTCCAATCTCTGCCTCCGTCTTCACAACCGCCTTCTCCTCTTCTGTCTGTGTGCGTCAGCTCTCCGTCTTGCTCTCTTTTCTGAAGGCACCTGTGAATGGACTGAGTACCCATTCAGATAATCCAGGATGAGCTCACGTCAAGATCTTTAATTCAATCACATTTACATATTATATTTGTATTTTATTATAAAGTAAAAAACTCTTTTGCTTTATAAGTTAACATTTATAGGTTCCAGGGATTAGGGCTTGATACATTTGGGTGGCCACTCTTCAGCCTCCTACGTAGTCCAAAATGTTTGCATACCATTTCAGGAAGGTCATGCACCCCAGGAAGGAACATTTATCCTGAACAGATAAATTGGAGGCAGGCCCATTTACTTATTCACCATCCTCTCTACACCTCAGATTCAACTACTGTGCTGGTAAAAAATGCAAAATATAAAATCACACCCCTAACTCTTGTCCTAGTAAATCAGAATCCCCCAGAGGCTTGGACCAGGAATGTGCATTTCTAACAAACTTCCCTAAATGATTCTGATGCAGCCAGCCTCGCTTCCGCTTCCTACTTTAGTGAGTATGGGTTAAGAGCTTGGATGCCCAAGTCCCTTCACTGTTAAATGGACATACTGCCACCTTCTTCGCAGTAAAAGAGACGTCCGTGTAAGCCTATTTGCACAAAGAAAGCGCCAATGCTTTTTTCCTCCTATACAAAGGTGAAGTACTTTTATTTATTTGATCTCCATCCCACCTCCTGTTCAAGGCACTCGGCCTCAAGGTGCGGAGTTGAGCCAAGGGAGTGAGGGAGAAGGGCAGAGTCGCAAACTCTTGCAGTCGGTGCCACCACAAGCTGCTTGCTCTTGACGCTCCGGGGACTTGCTGCCCACCCACCGCCACCCCAGGGGTTTATTTGCATCTGGCCCAAGACAGTGTGGGGAGCCCGCCCCCGTTCCCCGCTGATTGGCGATGCCCGCCTGCTCGTCATACTCTTTTGTCTCAGCGGGCAGAGGATAAAAGCGGCAGCGGCTGTCTTGGGAACCGTGCTGCCTCGACACGGCTACCCCTAGCTGGGCGGCCGTACGAAGCAGCACCGTCTGGAAGCCCCGGGTCGCCTAGCGGCGGAGGAGGGGGGCTGTCCTTTTCTCCTGCGGGGTCGCGGAGACAGGAAGGCGGCATCCACAGCTGTCAACGCCAGAGCAAACGCTGCCTGCCAGCAGAGCACAGGTAAAGAAAGGGGGCGCGATTGCCGGGCGCGGGGAGAGGAGGGGAAGGCCCACCAGTACTGGGCAGCTCCCCGATTAGGGAGTCGAGAACTGCGAGGCAGGGGAAGGAGCACTCCCGTGGCCCGGCTGCGCGGAGGCAGGAGGTGGGGTTCCACTGGCTGCTGCCGAATGGGTAGCATTTGACCGGATTGAGACAGAAGCGGTTTTCGGGGGATTGGTAAGAGGCGAGGGGGAAGAGAATCGCAAGCTATCTGACCCGACCCCCTGTGCATCTCCTCATCTCTTCCTGGGGAGGAATCTGTGGGTGTGAGTGTCCAACTCCTATTCCCCTTCTCTGTGGCAGGCCGTCAAAGCCGAACCCGACTTTGACTTCGGTGCGGCTGATTGCAGAGCTGGTAGGCAGACGATTTTCCGGGGGAAATGAAATGGGGTAGGGGTCGGCTTGACTTATATACGGACGGTGGGAGAAGGAATTTTCCTCCTGGCTGCTGCGGAGGCAGGGGGTTGGGGAGGAGGGAGGGAGCTAGCGGGATGAGGGATGAGACGGCTCCTGACCTATGCCCTGCCCGGCTTTGCCCTGCCCTGCGCGGCGGCGCAATCTGAACGCCCTGAGATCCCGGATCGGCGACCCCCGGTGGACAGACATCGACTGTACCCCTGAGACGATCTTTCTTCCGGAGGCCACCGGTTGCAGAAATTGGAAGTGAAATAAAGGCGTGCGCTCGTTCCTGAGCTCGTGTAAGAATCTGAGAACTAACGGGGGAGGAGGAACTTTGAGAAAGGGGTGTGGTTGAGATATGAGATCACGAAGTTAATGAGATCTTATTTATTCCCACAAATCTGACCACTGTGCTCTATTTTGAGAGCCCGATATCAGCTGTCTGCACGATTATGCTTAGAAGCAACAGTTGCCCTCCCTCCTGGAGGACTAGGCGGGAGGGGATGAACGTGGCTGGAAAAAGCACCCGGCTAGCACGGAGACGCCGGCTTCTCTGGGAGGTTGTAATTGCCAGTCTCCTGGAGAGTATTTTTAGGGCAGTGGGCAGATTTAAAACGTACTGTAGGATATTTAAGAAGGGAGAGAATACAGCTGCAGTCCGTTCCCTTATTAGCCCCCCTTCCTTTTTTTTGTTTTGTTTTTTTACAGCTTCTACTGAGATAGGAGGAAGGGATACCCCGCCGGAACACCTGCACATTAGGCTTTTCCAAAAAAGCCTGAGCGTCTTGTCATACTCAGATACCCGATCGTCAATCATGGCTAGCATCATTGCACGCCTCGGTAATAGCCGGCGCCACAAGGCACCCTTACCGCCTTGGGCCCATTCCATGTTGACATCCCTGGGGAGGAGTCTCGGTCCTTTAATGGAGGACATGGCGGAGAGAAACCTGAAGTTGTTCTCGGGGAGGATGGTGCCAGCACAGGGGCAGGAAACCTTTGAAAACTGGCTGATCCATGTCAATGCGGTCCTGCCAGATTGGAATATGTCTGAGGAGAAAAAGCTCAAGCGCTTGATGCAAACTCTTAGGGGCCCTGTCCGGGAGGTCATGTTTTTGCTCCGGGCGGCCAACCCCAACCTAAGTGTGGCGGATTTCTTGCGTGCCATGAAATTGGTGTTTGGGGAGTCTGAAAGTAGTGTGACGGCTCATGGTAAATTTTTTAACACCCTGCAGGCACGAGGAGAAAAGGCTTCCCTTTATGTGATCCGTTTAGAGGTGCAGCTCCAGAATGCTATTCAGACAGGGATCATAGCTCAGAAAGATGCAAACCAGACTCGCCTGCACCAGCTCCTTTTAGGGGCTGAGCTGAATGGGGACCTATGCTTCAGGCTGAAGCAGCTTCTCAGGACCCATGCAAATGAGCAGGAGCGCCTTCCCAATTTCCTGGAATTAATCAGAATAGTAAGGGAGGAAGAGGACTGGGATGACACTTTTATGAAAGGCAAGCGGGCCGAAAGATCTGAGTCAGTAGTGGAGAGGGCAACCAGCCCAGTGGCATTTCAGGGCTCCCCAGCAATAGTGATCCGGCACAGACTGCAACGTGATAGAGATAGATGATACCCTTGAGGACTCAGATGAGGATGTGATCCTGGTGGAGTCTCAGGACCCTCCACTTTCATTCTTGGGTTCTCCTCCCCCAAGAAGCAGGGCCAGACCTCGTGATCAAGTGCTGGTCATTGATTCCCCCAGCAGTTCCCAGGCTCAATCTCCTTCCACCAGCCAGGGTTCTGGGTATAAGAATGATGGCCCTGGGAATGTGCATCGAACCAGGAAGAGAAAATACACAGTCCGCTGTTCATATTGTGGCGAGGAGAGCCACTCAAAGGAAACCTGTGACAATAAGAGCAACAGGGCCCAGGTGTTTGAGAATCTGATCATCACCATGCAGGAGCTGACACATACAGAGGAGGAGGGGTCAGGAGAGGCCCCTGGCAAACATACTGACCCTTCTGACCCACAGTGAGGTGCTGGCCCTCAGCCTTAAATGCACCCTGATCTATACTCAGAGTCCAGCAATGGGAAAACTGGTAGGGGGGGGGGGCCCACTTCTAATTGCATGATTAATCCACAAAGTGGCTTTCCTTTGGGTTGGAGGAGAAAGGGTATCGGGTACCAGCACAGTGAGGAGAGCTGGCCTCAACTCTGCGCTTGCTTCCTATCCCCCGCTGCTTAAGGGTCTATTTTCTGTGTGTGCCCATTTCCCTGATGGCTTTATTCTCTTTGTGAAAGTGGTATAGTTCATTGTTAAATCTTCAAACAATAAGAAAGGTACAAAAAAGTACAAATTACCCTAAACCCTCCAACCGTGTGTAACTATTGTCAACCCTTTGATGAATATCCTTCTGGATAATTTCCTTATACCTGTGCACCCAGATAGATATATGTATAGATAAACATGATCAAATATAAGTGCTGTTCTATAGTCTGTATTTTTTCACCAGGCAATATATGTTGTGAGCTGCTTTCTATGTCAGTAAATATGTATCAGTATCTATTTTAATGCCTCTGTGGTGGTATTTCAGAAAAAGGTAAAGGAAAAAGGAATAAGAGAAGTACAGTAAAAAGCTATAAAGGGGAGGAGTCATACCCCATGGTAGGGTTCTATCAACCTCATTTTGTAGATGAAGAAAAGGGAAGAAGAAATGGGCTGAAGTATTGCCCAAATATTCCCCAAAGTTAAATGGACAAAGCCCCTTACCATAATGGACCTGTCCCTTAAGTCATTAAGCCAAATTTTGTCACCTACTAGTTGACAATGCCCCAGTGCATCTTTCTCTAATGTATCCAGAGGATTCTGATGGCGGTGGGGGTGGTGGGTCTCGGGCTGAGGTATAGCCCCAAATGGGGATTCCTGGTCACGTTGGGGAGCACATTCTCCCTCCTTTGTGTGGATTCCCTAGATTGCTGCTGCTCCTGCCTCTCAACATCCTGATCACAACCTGGAATCTCTTCTATGGGCTGACACCAGCCTCTCCCCACTCTCCAGTCAAGAGACGGTGAGAGGAGGTACTCAGGGGGAGCCCAGCATCAAAAGGCTCAGCTCCTGATGGCACTTGAGCCTCCCCCCATAAGCCCTGAAGCTGAATGCTAGGGGACACAGGCAGCCCCAGGCCTCCAAGCCCACCCTACCTGAACCCAAGAACTGGGACTAGCTGGGGAGAGATGGAAAGCAATCTAGTTGCCGGGGCACATGACAGAACCTGGGGATCTGAATGCCCAGAAGGCTACACAGCATTCTAGTGGAGTGGAGGGCTGTCATGGGGGAGGGAGAGGAGAGGGACCTTCTCTGGAACCTGCCATCTCCTGTGCCATCTGATTTCACATTGGACGGTGATAAACAGGCATATGTGTTACCTCAGACCCCAAGGGTCTCTATGTTTCTTGTAGGTGCACAAGTCCTTATTTCTGTGAGCAGGACAAGGGTGGGGGTGTGTGGAGACCTGAGGACCCAAGGAAGTTTGTCATGCAGGACATTGGGGGTCCAACAGAGCTGAGAGGACAGTGCACACAGCAGTGGGAGATGGTGCATCAGGGCTGTAAGGGGAAGGCTGGAACGAGTGAGGGTCCCTGACCAGGCAGACTCACATCCGGATTGACAAGGACAGGAAGCCTGGGAGGAAGCTTGGGTTTTTTCCTCAAAAAACTCAAAATATAAATAACATTTGACCCAGGCCTTACACTCCTGGGAATTTCCCTGAAGAAAACAAGATCACAGATTCAAAAGGACATATGCACCCCTATGTTTATCGCAGCACTATCTACAATAGCCAAGAAATGGAAGCAACCTAAGTGTCCACCAGTAGATGAATGGATAAAGATGTGGTACATATACACAATGGAATATTATTCAGCCATAAAAAGAAAACAAATCCTACCATTTGCAACAACATGGATGGAGCTAGAGGGTATTATGCTCAGTGAAATAAGCCAGGAGGAGAAAGACAAGTATTAAATGATTTCACTCATCTGTGGAGTATAAGAACAACGACAAAACTGAAGGAACAGTATCATGTGGGAGGGGCATGGGGAGGGCTGTGCAACACAGAGAAGACAAGTAGTGATTCTACAACAACTTACTACGCTGATGGACAATGACTGCAATGGGGAATGTGGGGGGATGTGGTGAAGGCGGGAGTCTAGTAAACATAATGTTCCTCATGTAATTGTAGAGTAATGATACCAAAAAAAAAATCAATATAGAAAAAAATTAAAAATTAAAAAAAAGCTTTCCTGGTTGCTCCCTACTCTTGACGGCTGGCTTCATTCCTAGTTGCCTCTGAGACACGATCCTGGTGAGACAGGGATCGTGGGTGTGGTCAGAGTAGGGTGAGGGCCTCTGGAAAAAGCAAGGCAAAATACGTGCAGTCACAGCAATGTAACTAGATGCAAAGAAAACCCTTACTAAAACTGTGTTAAACATTCAGCTCTAGAGTCATTCTTCAGTGAGATCAGTTGGTGTACACCCCAGATAAAGGAGAGTAGTACATGTTTATTTTATGCTAATCATTTATAATCATGTGTAATATTCACTTTAACATGCTAAAAGGCCCAGGCCTATGTGCTGTCTTTCCTCCTTCAGATCTGATGAAGTGATTTTGCAAAGTGGGCAAACTAATTTAGCATGCAAGCCTAGCCATAACACTGTAAAAGGCAAGGATTCCACCTTAAAGATGATAGCACTCACTCATTAGCAAACAATGCCTCAGCCCACCTTGGGGGCTGAGCAGGTGGCCTTGTTTCATATGCTCCCAGACCAAGATGCTGGTATCTCAGGGAGAAATCATCAGAGCAGGAAGTTACTTGTGTTAAGTTAATTCTAAACATTCTGGGACCACTTAATAAGTCCACACCCCTAAGCTTTTTTTCATGTTCTCGAAAAATCCTCATCTGCCTATAAAACCCCTAGACAACACACCACTACAGACTCTCTTGTCCCCTCCTGGCGTGAGCCGGGAGATCTGTCCTTTCACTTTATCTCCAAATAAAAACCTGTACCTTGCTCTCCTACCTTGAGCGTTTGTGGAGCTCATTCTTCGGCTTCGTGAACAATAAGCCCAGGCATCACTGGGAAGATAACTCCTCCACTGGTAACATTATTACTACCCACATTTTATAAAGGAGGAAACTGAAGATGAGGGAGGTAATAATTAGCTCACCCTTCAGGTACCTACAAATGTATTTTTTCAGAAACATAAAAACCACCTTCAAGAAAACTGCCTCATTTTTTTTCGTTCCATTTTTGCAGAAAGGAACTGGGGATTCAAGTTCAGGATAACTATTTGACCATTCTGCCCTCTTCAGAGTCCTTTTTCCTTTGGGAAGAATAGAGGAAGGGTGGAGGCGGAAATCCTTTACCTGACCCGGTTTGGGGTTGGGTGGGCTCGCCCCGCCCCGCNGCTGTATAATTAAATAGACCAATAACTCAAGACAAGTAAACTGACTTTCTTCTCCTTTCTTTACATTTCTTGTCTTGAATTATTTCTCACTCAGATAAGACAGCCAGGGTTTGAATCTCAGCTCTCTCATTTACTGACACTTTGGGCAATTTATTTTACCTCCATAGCCTCAGTGTTACCAAATGTAAAATAAAAGATAATTACAGCACTGACTGGCTGCGGCGACTGCGTGTGGGCGGCTATTTCCGTTTACGGCGCTGCGCCGTGATCGCCATTGCACGAGGGGCAGCCACGTGACCAAGGCGGTGCCGGCAGCGTGGTAGGGAGCGCCCGTGGGGGTCAGCTTAGCGGCTCTCCTGCTTGCACCTCTTTCTTCTTTGGCTCTGCGCGGGCCAATCGGTGGGGCTGCAGCGGCGAAAGCGACTGAAGTCCGGACGCGCTAATTTGTAACCTCTTGGCGACCCAACAAGCAGCCCCGTGAGTTTTTCGGGCACTGGAGGCCCTGGGAGGAGTCACCTCACCCTGACTTTGTGGCAGTTTTGGCCTTTCCTGCAAGGCAAAGAAGGCGGGACTTGGTCCCAGCCTTCCGCGTGAGCGGCGCTTGCCCCTGGAGTGCCCCCTGGGAGCGGGCCTAGCGGGTGGAGTTTGTAACTTGTGGCTGCCCTGGCAGGACATCTTTGCCCGATACGCACTAACCAAATTGCCAAAACCAAAAACCCAGTGTTTTCACGGATTTGCTGTACTAGAACAATTCACTTGATTGCGGGGCTTGAGAATCGCGGGTAGTGAAATTGTTACCTGGCTATGGTTTATTGCTTGGAGTAGGGGCCGTAGGCACACTCACGCTTCAGGGCGGAGAGGCTACGGTTTATCCAGAGTCCACACTGGGATCACCCAACCAGAAGTGTTTCCAGGGTTCTTGTTTGCGGAGTCGGAGAATGAACTTAGCAAATACCCAAGGTAGGAGAGCCAGGGAGAGGATTTTATTGAGAGATGCAGTGAGAGGACAGAGCTCCTGGCTCACGCCAGGAGGGAACAAGAGAGCCTGGGGTGGCGCATTGTCTACAGGATTTATAGGCAGTTGAGGATTTGGGGGAACTGAAAAAGGGCTTACGGTGTGGACTTGTACCACCTGCTCTTTCCCCGAGGTGGGCTGGGTTGTTGTCTGTTTGCTAGGGCTGTTTACAGTAAAGTCACGGGTTATGATGAGACACCCTTCTTTATTTGCAGAACACTCAAACATTCCAGGCCAAGTTGCTCCTGGCCTTTTGAGCTTTAACTCATCTCACTGAAAATGTCTATATTCCTAGTCCACTATCTTTACCCTAGAGAATTAGTGTGACCTTGACTTTGCATAGTGCTTAACAGTTTCCATAGGTACTTCTTTGCACATTGTTATATTGCTCTGACTGTAAATATCCTGCCTTGCTTTTTCCGGAGGCCCTCACCCTACTCTGACTACACCCATGGTCCCTGTCTCAGAAGCACACTGCACACCTCAAAGATACCTTACAATTCACATAGACAGATACTGACTTTGGTATTTCTGCCAGCACAACCCCGAGCCCCAACGACAAAAGTGCCTTAGGCACTTCATTCACACAATTCTTACCGGTCTGGAACAGGACAGGGAAGGTGTGGGTAGACTAGCTGAGGGAAAAAGTTAATTTACAGAGAAACTAAACCAGATAATAGATGAAGGGATTTTAAAAAGAGCCTTATGCCTTGCATACTTCAAAATTCACTCATTTTAAGCGTCCAATTATTTTTAATAAAATTGTGGAGTTGTGCAGCCACCACAATCTGGTTCTAAAGCATTTCAATACCCCTCCTCCCAAATGCCCCAAAACCTGTTTGCAGTTACTCTCCCATCTCTCACCCTAAGCAACTATTTATCTGCCTTCTGTCTATATGATTGCTTTTTTTTTTGGTTAGTCTTATTTCTTTATTTCTTTATTTTACTTTTTATTTTGGAATCATTAATCTAATCGTAATGCCCCTTTTTCCCCTTTACCCCTCCCTTCCCACCCATCCTCCCCAGTCCCTTTCCCTTTGGTAACTGTTAGTCCATTCTTGAGTTCTGTGAGTCTGCTGCTGTTTTCTTATTTTT